GAGGAGGAGGAGGAGGAGGAGGAGGAGGGGGAGGGGGAGGATAAAACAAACCCTTCCGGGCCACAGCCAGTGATGCAGCTCTTCCTACCCGGCTTCACCTCCCAGCACCAAGGCCACTGTAACCCATCAGTGGACCAGTCCAGTGATGAGTGTCACACACCCGTGATCCAGTATCTCACAGGCATGGTCCAGCCGCCTCCCCGAGCCCCACCCATGAGTGCATGCGACCTGCCGTGGGGAGACATCTGCATTTAAGCCATAACAGTACCAAGCCCAGGGGCTCTGGAGGATTCCCTGTTCTGGGTGATGTGGCAGGGCCCGGACCCCAGGCTCTGGCCGGGCTCAGGTGAGTCGGGTGAGCACAGGACAGACGGAGCCTCTCCTTGCTCCCCAGGACTGTCCCCAGCTGGTGCCCACGGAGGAGATCCTCATTCCAGTCGGGGAGGTGAAGCCCATCACCCTGAAGGCCCGCAACCTGCCTCAGCCTCAGTCCGGCCAGCGTGGCTACGAGTGCGTCCTCAGCATCCAGGGGGCCATCCACCGTGTGCCCGCCCTGCGCTTCAACAGCTCCAGTGTCCAGTGCCAGAACAGCTCGGTGAGAGGACAGGCCGGGGCTGCCCCAGTGCGGGGCTGTCTCCCCTGCCCATGCCAAGGCCTCGGCTAACCCCACCTCCCCAGGGACAGGGGCAGCTGCCAGCCCCCAGGCCCTGCCTTCAGCCGGGGCCAGGCAGGTTAATGGTGGCACAGGTGGAGATCTTGGCGAAGTTTAAAGAGCAAACTCCGCATCCCTTCTCAGGGCACAAAGGACCTGGCCGGTGTCACTGTGACCACAGAGGACAGGACAGCGGGATGTGCGGTGGGAGGGTAGGAAGGTGGACGCATGTCGAGAGCAGCAAGAGTTAAACGGTCCCCAGTGGCAGACGGGAAGCACACAAGGTGTTTAATTATCATTCTGGCCCGGAGAAGATGTTTTTATCAGCCAGCTCCCTGTCTCTGACTGTGGGGTCAGCTCGGAGATGCGGGATGAGACAGAGGTGTTGAGGGAAGCTAATTCGCCAGGGAGAGATAAAGGGAACCTGGGGCTCTTATCAGGGAGCTGTCGGATCTGGGGTCATGGGCACTTGACAGAATTTGTAATCGCTGGGAGGCTGCCAAGCGCAAGGGGAAGGCGCGGAGAAAGAAATGGTCCACGACAAAGGAGGAAGGCGGCAGGCAGGGGCAGGCGGCAGGGCCTCTGGAGCTGTGTGGCCTGGCCACAGCCCTTCCTGGGCACGTCTTGGGTCCCCTTCACAGAGGTGCCCGTGGGAGCTGAGCCACCCCACCGGCTGTTTCTAAAGTGTGTGAAGGGCTTAAAAGTCCTCTGTGGGGTCGGCGGGAGAGGAAGTCCCTGAAGCTAGAGGCAGTCATGGTGGGCCAAGGACATTCTGGGCTACTGAACAGAGGGAGGCTCACACTCAGGCAGAGAAGCGAGTGGGCCTGGCCGGCCACTCCATGGTTTTTACTGTGAGCCCTTCCAGGCCCTGTGTGGGTGACAGGGCAGCCAGAGGGCACTGGCTTTGCCTCCTGGAGCATACGGCCTGTCCAGAGAGACCTGGCCTGCCCCGCAGCCCCTAAGAGATGCCAGGTTCGAGACAAAGGACTATCACCAGGGGACAGGGAGGCGGGGAGGGCTGGAGCAATGATACCGGGAAGATGGGTCCAAACGAGTGGGAAATGAGGGCTGCAGTACAGGATGGGGCTTGGGGGAGAGGTGGACTCCTCCCGACGTGGGAATCCGCCCAGACACACAGAGGCGTCAGCAGGTGTGCATGGAGGTGGCAGGTTCAAGATCTCGGTAAGAGCAGAGGAGAAGGCTGGGGGATAAGCTTGGAGCAGAGGGCAGAAGGCACTGAGTGCCAAGCCAAGGGGCTGCGTGGCCTCCAGTGGCATTAGTGGCAGAGTCGGAAAAGGGATGCCTCGGAAGGCTGCTCGGCAGCCCTGGCCCTGCTGACAGGACCTCGTGCCTCCCCCTCCCCTGCAGTACCAGTACGATGGGATGGACATCAGCAACCTGGCCGTGGACTTCGCTGTGGTGTGGAACGGCAACTTCATCATCGACAACCCGCAGAACCTGAAAGGTGAGCAGCTACTTCCGGGCGGAGGTTTGATCTCTGGACGACCAGGGACAGACTGGGGCTGAGGGATCAGAGCGTCCGCTGGGCCCTGGCGCATCCACACTAACCATTGGCTCCTGGTGGCTTCGAAGCGTCTGTGGAACCTGACCCAGAATGGCAGCAGGACGTCCTGCTGGTTCCCTGGAAATGGAGGTATTGTTTCCACTCAGCCTCTCACTCCCCTGTCCTGGGGCATCGGGAGGGAGCCAGGCTGACGCAGGCCCACATCTGGGCAGAGAAGTTCCGGAAGAGGAGCTGCGCTGGAGCAGGGGTCGCACATGCACGAGGGCCGCCTGTATCACTGTCTTGTATGTGTGCGTCCCGTTCCTGCAGAGCACAGAGATTTTTTTGAGATTCTTTTCCTAATTATCACAGCTCTGGGAGGTCCGCGCTATTATTAGTCCCATTTTGTAGACAGGAAAGTAAGATCCAAAGAGGTTAAGAACTGGGCCAAGAGTCCAGTAGTAAGAGCCGGGATTTGGACCCAGATAGTTTAATTTCAAACTGGTTTGCAAGCTGAACCCCAGCACGGCGAGGACCTGCAGCCCAGCTGCTGTGGGATTTGAACCCTCTTCCCCCAGAGTGCACCGGCCCTCTCGCCACACACCAATGTCTCCCTATTATTCACCCCCTTCCTACACTGGGGATTAAACCTGGGGCCTTAACACTGAGCTGCATCCTCAGCCCCTTTCTAAATTTTGAGACAGGGTCTCACTGTATTGCTGAATTGCCCAGGCTGGGCTCGGCTCGATCTTACAACCCTTGTGCCTCAGCCTCCCAGAGTGCTAGGGTTCCAGGCGTGCACCAGCTCCCCCAGATCCTCTGCTGCTCAAGTAGCGAGCCTGGCAGAGTCTTGGCTTCCATCTGAGGGCCCTCCTGGGCATCAAGAGGGGTCAAGCCATGGAGGGTTGGCTACTGTCTCTCGGCATCCACAGGCTGCAGCTCTGTCCCAGAAGCTGCCACTGCAATGAGGGCTGCATGGACTGGGAGAGAGAAGTGGAGCCAGGGGGGTTTTTTCTTCTTTTCCCTGCTGCTTCTCCTAGCCAGGCCAAATTTTCTCACCACTAAGGGAGACCAGACACTTTCCATGCTGAGGCTCTGGGCTTGGATCCCAGAGGGTGTCTTTGCACCTGGAGCCAGGGGAGAAGCAGCCCCATCCCCGCTGGGGCAGCAGGCTCTCGATGCCCGTGTAGCTCCAAATGCATGGCAGTCGTCTGTGCGTCACACTTGTGCCCTCCCCGAGCTGGGTGTCAGGGGAGTCTGCGCTCTGTCGGGCGGGGGCCACTGTGTTTAAGGACTCAGGCTCTAGAATCCAACAAGTTAGGTTCAACTGCGGCTGATTTCACTTGTAGCGTTGTGAAGTCAGGCTAAGCACAGCTCCTGTCGGCATGCATGTCCTTGCCTCGTTTCTGTGTCCCATGCCGTACAAGGAGGAAAGTATGCCCTGCTCCGGGTCATGTGAGGGTGGTGAGCCAGGGACCACATGGTACAATGTGCACTTGGTTTAAGAGTCCCATGCCCTGCCCTCTATGGTGTGGGATATTTAAATGCAGTCTGTGCAGCTGGGCCTGAGGGGTGCTGGACAGGGCAGAGGATGGGAGGACCTATGGAAGGAGAGAAGGAATGACCCCTCCACGGGGTGTGAACCTGACCTTCGGCCAAGGCACCCAGCCTGCTCCAGGGAGCTTATGACAGCTTGAGCAGAAGAGTTGAAAAGTGACTTTCTGAGCACATTCATCCCCCAGTCTCCACAGTGGATGTGTTCCAAGCTGCCCTGGGGTATCTAGTTGTTAGGTCGTATTGTTTAAGGAATAGTGACAAGAAATAAGTCTGTATGTGCTCAGTGCATATGCACTTTGAAAAAGTACTTTAAATCCACAGTTGGTCAGATCCATGGATACAGAATCCACAAACATGGTGGGCCAACTGGATTCTGCTCTTGGAGAATTCTTTTGGGACTGTGAGTTCAAACCCTAACAGGAAAGGAGCTAAGCTCCAGGCTCAGAAAGCACAGTTCCTCAGACTGGCTAGTTCCACCAGGCTTTTAAGTCAGTGGGAGACAAAAGCAAAGACAGAGGGTTGGCAGACGCCACACGTGACCTGTAAAGGAGCCAGCCTGTCCTCTCGGGGATGGAGTTCCCATCCACGGGGCAGTGAACGAGACTGTGTCGTGCCCTTTGCTCACAGGCAGTGTCTCCCCATTGCCACGCACCTGGCCTTTCCTTAGGCCCACGCCCTTCCTGGCATGCCGGGGAGAGGCCTCTCTTACTGGGACCTACTGCCCAGCAGCACCGTGAGCTGAGCTTCAGGGTCCCAGCGTGTAGAACAGACCTTGCCAGGCTGCGAATCATCCCGTTTCTGTTTGAGCTTCATTTTTTCCTGATAAGGAAAGGAGCCCTTATTTCTGGAAAGGAGGGCCCTCTGTGAGTGTACGAAAGATGGCAGCATGAGAATACACTTTGAGTTCACAGAGAGGATAATAAGCATGTGTAGAACATCAGATATGCCACAGGACTGAGCTCACTACTTACTACACATTTCACTCAAACCTCCAAAAAGCAATGATCGTCTCCAAGTTAGAGGTAGGTAAATGGGGCCTGGGGAGGTTAAATACTCTGTCACACTGCTAAGAAGTAGTGAAGCCACAATTAAAGGCCTGATCTGATTCAATCAGGAGCCAGAAATCTTAAGTAATACGATTGCAAAGAGTGCCGTTTAGGAATCCCCAGCAGTTGTCCCGCCAGTTGTGACGCCGGTGGGTGGTATTCCCCACAGCTGGGGACAGCATCTGCAGTCCCATCTGTGACGGCTTCTCTCTTTGCAGTGCACCTCTACAAGTGCGCAGCCCAGCGGGAGAGCTGCGGCCTCTGCCTCAAGGCCGACCGCAAGTTCGAGTGCGGCTGGTGTAGCGGAGAGCGAAAATGCACCCTCCAGCAGCACTGCAGCAGCCCCGCCAGCCCCTGGCTCGACTGGTCCAGCCACAATGTCAAGTGCTCCAACCCCCAGATCACTGAGGTGAGTCCCCCAGCTCCCAGGGGATGGCCGGGGCCATGGGGGAGGGGAGCGAGGCGAGGCTCATGGATGACTCCTCGGAGTGGAGTGTGTTTAATGTGGGTGTAGACGGCCTCTCCTGTGTGCCTCACCACCAAGCATCACAGATGAGAATTTGGGGCGTGTCTCCATGCCTGTGGGTGCATTTCTGTGCACACATGCATCGCTTCTCGGCCTTTTGGCTAAGATCAAGTGTAGTATCTGTGCACACATGCGCACCACAAGGGCTGTGCAGAGCCAGCCCAGTTGCCCCCCATGCTGGCCGAGCCAGGTGGGGACAGGACGTTAGCGCCATGACGTGATGGGAGAGTGCTGCAGAAAGCAAGCTCAGCTTCTCCTGACACAAGAGTGTTTCCAGGAGCCGCAGTTTACTAGGAGTTGCCACGGTGAAAGACAGGCACTGTGTCAGCCACCTCGCCCTTTCCCAGGGTTTGGCCTCTGTCCCCATTTGTTTGTGCAATTTAATGGGAAGAAATAGGTAATTAATTATACTAGGGGAAAAGTGGTGTTTCCAAAATAGCACACTGCAGAGGAAGATGAACAGAGGATGTGGATGAAAATGCGGCTGCCTGGGTTTGAATGGGCTGGACAAGAGGACTTGGACAAACGGGTGGCATTGTGGGCTCATCCCTCCCTGCGGCTTAGAAACTAACTGCAAATTCCTGACGCTGACTGGGAACAAAGGCCTGGCCAGGTGCCTCAGCGGCCGGCAGGTATGAAGAGCTGGAAGGGGCTGCTCTCTGCCTGCAGCTTTCCTAAGCTGGTGCTCTGGCCCTTTCCTCTGCCTCATGTTCCCCATTGGCCAAGAAAGCAATTCTGGTTCCCAGCTATGTCAGTGTTGGGAAACTTCTTGAGCACCCCCAGTAAACAAGGCAAAGCAAGACAAAAACCTGAGAAGCCCAGAGAAATTGAGCAACATGCTCAAGTCACACAGAGAATAAGTGACAGAGCAAGTGTTTGAGCTCAGATTCAATTACAAAACCATTTGAAAAAGTTCTGTGATTTGCCCAGATAACAAAACAAAGAGCGGTGTTTCCACTTCCTTAAGATTCTTGCCTTGCCTGCTGGTGGGGCCAGTTAGGTATGACCCCTCCAGGTGGCAGAGTATCTAGGGATGAGTGTGTACCTGGGTCTGTGTGCAGCTGTGCAGGGTGAGGCTATTCAGGGATAGACACAGCCCCTTAAAGACCAGGCTGCTCCCATCCCAGTTTACTGTCCAAAGTGGCCAGTGACAGTGCCTGTGACATCCCCCGTGTCTGCATCTTGCTAGAAGAGCATGTCTGCCGGGACTGGGAGGTTGCCCCACCTCTGCCCTCAGCCAGCCAGCTTCCTGAGCTGCTCCCACTCCATGCCTTCTCCGACTCCAGTGATGTCTGGAAGCTGCTGGCCTGAGGACTCACACTGTTCTGTCATTCTTGCTGCTGCAGTCGTGGATCCGTGCAACCATTGGCACCTGTGGTGCAGAAAGCTTGGATTAGTCAGGGCTTGGAGTCCATCAGCACCTCCTGCCTTGGGAGTCCCAGCCTGGGGTCCTGCTCCAGCTCTGACAGCCGTCTGCCCCCAGTGGCCAGCCCCTTCCCAGCCCCAAGGCAAGCTGCTCACTGCGGAGCCTGTGCCTCAGTGCCCCTGCTCACTGACTGGGGACTGACAGCCTGCTCTGTTCACGGAGGACACCCAGTTACTGGAGGCTAATTAACCCCCTGAGCAATTAGGCTGTAATTGATTTTCCAGTGAACATCTCAGCAGGAGTCAGAGGCCCCAAGTCTCTGGTGGTGATTTTCACTTGAGCTATAGAGAAATGAAAAGCATCTATGGGAAGAGACCAATCCATGCTGTGTTCCAAAGCCACTCGAGGGATGTCACTCTGGACAGGACATGTGGGAAGGAGGGTCCAAGCCTGGAACAGTACATTCACGGTTATCTGTCATATTTCCCTTCATTTCACTTCCCCCCGATCCCCCTAACATATAGAAGTCATTTTCTGTCCTATAAGATTTCATTTTTGAAATAACTTCAAATTTATTTTTAAAAAAGACACAAAAATAGTACAAAGAACTTTCATATTCCCTTCACCTGGATTTTCCAAAGTTAATGTCTTATATAACCACAGTATAATGGTCAAAATCAGGAATTTAATATTGATTTCATAATAACGTCTAATATACATGCTTTATTAACATTTTGCCAATTATCTCTACTCTGGTCCAGAATCCAACCAGGATCCCATATGACAGTCAGTGCCCTGTCTCCTTAGTCCTCTGCCTGTAGTTGTACCACCCTTCCTGACCTTCATGTTGTGGAAGAGTCCAGAACAATTATTTTATAGGATGTCCCTCAATCTGGATATATCAGATGTTTCCTCATAAAGAAATTCAAGTTGTTGGGGTTATTTTGGCAAGAAGTACTAAAAAAAAGGTAGGGTTCATATCAAAAAGGCACAGAGGCCAACTTGAAAAGGATCCCAGTCATCCCGTCTGGGCAATTTGAGCAAGAAAACCGTAATAATTATAGTCTTCACCAATAGAATAAGTAAGAACCCATGGTCCTTACTGACTGATATAAACAAACAAATAAAGAGGATAAGAAGGTCTTCTGGACACTAGATCCCAAGTAATACATTTAGAAAGAATTGTGCAAATAGAAGATTAACATCTAGGAATTTCACAACATGTGTTGTTTCAAGCAAGAACAGTCAAGGGTTGCTAAGATCAGTGTAAGTGTGATGAGAGGCCAGATGTGTACAGCTCCGTGTGCTCTCTTCTGTAAGATACTTACTAATCACAACGAGAACAGAAGTGACTTCACAGCGAGGAAAGCTGGTAGACCCAGCTTAACCGAGTGATCAAAGTTAACATCATCAGTCGTGGGATAAATCAAGCTCAGGTCATTGCCTCATTTCTGTGGCATTTTGGGAAACAGTACACGATCTGTTCCAAGTAACCTTTAAGAGAAACCAACTTGTTTTCTTTACTTCATCTTTCTTGGCTAATCACTTCACACCAGGCAGATCTTTTCCCTAAACCTCCTAATTATAAGAAGTCCACAGAGTTCATACTCTTTTGTGTGTATCGCCCGTATTTTCATTTCTTCACACTGTGTGCCCTCCCAGCACCGCTGCTGAGTTTGGTAAGCAGCAGCACATGCTATAGAGATCCTTCCTGGGGGGAGGAGGGAAGGGTCCCCCCGATGGCTGCAGGGGGTGGCAGAACTTCCAATTCCGGAAATGAATGGGGGCAGGAAGGGGAGCTGCCCTGCCTGGAAGCAGAAAATAAACGAGATGACCTCAAAGAAATCCCACTCTGAGCAAAGAAGTGGGCTCACTCGCAGTTAAATGAGCAGCTGTGTGCTTCCTTAACCCCTCCTTACCCCCTCTGTCTCCATGGCAACCGAGCCCACCCCTAGAGACCCATCCTTTATGGCAACCTTGGGTAGGACAAGTTGTATAGCCTGTTGGATTTCCCAGTTTGCATAAAGCTCAGGTCAGGACCCCTCAGGACTCACCGTCTGCTCCTTCTCAGCCAGCTCTTGCTGTGCTAATGACACTGTCCCCTGCAGGAGGCAGCCCAGGCTGCTCCCATTTCCAGCTGTCATCCAGGTGTCTGTACACACGTCACCTGTTCCACCCCAGGAACAGGGTAGGTACAGAGGATGGGAGACCCCCTGTGATGCCTGGCCCACTGCATTTCTGTTCTCCCCAGCCTGTGCTCAGGACCTGCTGGGGCCTCAAAGAGGAGGAAGTGGTGAGCCATCCACGGGAAAGGAAGGTCCAGAAAAGAGCGTTTCCCAAGAAGCCAGAAGAAAGAGAAAGGAGACTGAATAAATAGGTTCTCAGGAGAAGAAACTTAGAGAAGGTATTGAGGCCCGGAGCTAATGGCATAAGGGTATCCACCCTGGTGCCTGCTGGGGATCAGTTTCCTAGGGTCACACTAACAAATTGGCACAGACAAGGTGGCTTAGACAACAGAAGTATGTTCTCAGAGATCTGGAAACCAGAAGTCCATGATTAAGGTGTGGCAGGGTTGGTTCTTGTCTCAGTTACTTTTCTCGTTGCTGAGACAAAATATCCAGCACACAAAGTTAAGGGAGAAAAGGTTTATTGGGCTCACAATGTGGAGATTTTAGTCCATAGTCGACTGGCTCCAAGGTAGGGTGGCAGAGGGGCATCGCAGAGGAGAAACAGTTCATGGTGGGCAGAAGGCAGCAAAGCAAGCAAGAGGGGAGACAAGCCTCTTTCTGCCCCATATATTGTATCTAGGCTACCACGAATTTGTCAGTGCCAAACCAATCAGTGGACTGATTTAGTAATCACCCACCCTTAATCCTAGCATTGCACCATGAATCAATCACACACTCTAGACTCAGTCACCTCTGAAAAAGCCCCACCTAGGACTACATGAAGTTTTGAGAGGATGTCTAGACACAGCCATCACAGTTCCCCTGAGGGCTTTGGCGTAGAATCAGCCCTGGACCTCTCTCCCAGCTCCTTCTTCTTTGCTGATGGTCTCAGGCATCCTTTGTATTGTAGAAGCATCACTCGGACCTCTGCCTATATGTTCACATGACATTCTCCCTGTGTGTGTCTATCTCTTAAATTATTATTATTTAAATAAGGACACCAACCAGATTGATTTAAGGCCCACTCGAATGACCTCATTTTAACCTGATTGCTTCTAAAAAGACTCTGTCTCCAGATAAGGTCACATTTTGAGGCATTGGGAGTTAGGGCTTCAATGTATGAGTTTGGAAGGGGATTCAACCCACAACAGTGAAAATTCTGTGTGAAAGGAGGCATTACCACAGTTCCAAATGAATTAATTCATTCCTATGTGGCTATTTAATTAGTGACTACTGTATGTCATGCATTGTTCTGGGTTGGAGATTGTTCCATAGATGAGTGAGTCCTGGGTGAAGAACCAAGAGGAGACACCCTCTCCCAGGGTAGGCCCAGCAGACCCTGAGCACTG